ATCCAAATGAGCCCCCACCCCTGAAGGAACTTATCTCTATGTAAATAAAACGCTCTCCCCTCGAGGGCTGTCTGTGCCCTATGGAAATGCGACCGCAGCCCCTCCAGGCCTGTCAGTGCCAGGCATTAATGAGCCGGCAAAATGGTTTCTTCTCTCATTTGCTTTGGCAGTGCAGATGCTCGAGTCTCTCGGCGCGTTATTCGGGAAGTTTGGAAAATGTAAAATATGCCTGAGAGAAATGCCAAAGCCCTTAACTCATGGGGCAACGTTCAGAGAACACAGAGGGGGGTAAAGAGCTCTCAGTGGCGTTTACTGTGTGCATCAAAACTTCCCGGTTGTTGAGGGCTGTGTCTGCACAAGGGATATTTGTTAACAAATGGAAGCCCCCAGATGATGGTGAAAATGATTTTATGCAAAATAAGTCTCCGTTTGCAGGCAGAAAACGTCTATTTGCAACAAGGAGAGAAGTTGCTTTTATTAGAATACTGGGAAAAAATTGTCGGAATCCGTGGAAAGATCGAAATGAAGGTTTAACATTTTTTTTTTATTCGGGGTGTGTTACCTGGAAATCAAACCCGTGGTTCGATGGCACCAGCAGTGCCCACCGACTCCAGTCCCAGGCACAGCAAGGGGAGAAGGGATGGGTTATCCCGATGTGCAGGAAGGGTTAAATTCCTCAGTGCAGCGGTGGCTGGGAGCTGGTGGGGTCTGTCTTTCAAAATCCTTGTGCTTGGTGAGATCTGGAGCTCAGGTGAGCCGGGATTCTCCCCTCCGAGGGGTGGGAGCTGGGGGGAACACCACAGATTGGTTTGGGTTGGAAGGGACCTTAAAGCTTGTCTCCTTCCAACCACCTTCCTCGCTCTTCCTGCTGGAAACTCCCTCCTGTCTGAGCACAGGGGTCACAGGGTGGTCACACCCCCAGCTCACCTGGGCACCGAGGTCACCTGCCCCGGGTGGTGCCACCTTGAGCTCACCTTGTCTGGGGCTCTGCGGGCTGGAATAATGATGTTTGCCAAGGGATTGATTACAGCAGTGTGGGATGACCCTGGGCTTTGGCTCACCTGGGACACCCGTGATTTCAGCGGGAAATCAGTACGGGCTCGGTTTCCCCTCCCGTTTTTATCCAGCCCTGAAAGAAGGTGATGGAAGAGCGTCGTGAGCGAGGAAAGACTGGAAGGACCCGCTCCCAGCATCTCCTCCGGGAAAATGCGACCTGAGCTCCGCTTCCAGCAGCAAAGGGACAGCGCAGGAGCTGCTGGTGGCATCTCCTCCTTCCGCAGGGCGCAGCTGGGCCAGATCCCAGCGGAAAAACTTGGGATTTCGGCTCCAAAGGATCTGGCTCCCCCTTGTGCTCCCCGTGCTTATGGCAGGAAAAGTCTGATGGGACAAACCCATCCCCCCGTGTCCAGCCCGAGAACTGGATCCTTCAGCAGCTGTTAGTCAGGACCTGACCCGACCTGGACCAACTCCATAGTCTGGTGCCCTTGGGCTTGCCGGGAAACATTCCCGGGGCACGGGGAGGGAATAGGATGTGCAGCTCCATATGCAGAGTTGTGACCGTCAGTCAGAGCTTCTGCTTTGGAGAAAATCCACCTTTTTCTGTGTGATCCAATCCAAACAACAGCACTGCCATCTGTGACCCCCTCAGCCCCGTGTCCTTTCTCCATCGTGGCACGAATTTAAGGAATATCAAACTATTCACCTGTACAAATACAACAGAACTTTGTTTCTCCACTGTTTTACCCAGGTTTGGTTTTTTTTTTCCTTTGGTGCTCTGTGGAGCAGATGCTGACCCACACTGCTCCTCTGACAAAGGTGGGAGCAGTAAGGACAGGGAAAATCCACCTTAAAACTGGTTTTAATGCAACACCCCCAGCACCAGCAGCTGCTGGAATTAGAGGTGGTGTTTCTCCTTAAACGAATTACTTTTAGGATGTTTCTTTAAAGGTCATTAATGGGTGTCAGGAGACAAAGGAAAGCTGTGTTAGACAAAGCAGAAAAAGGGACTTGTTTTCCAGCAGATGTTCTACAAATCCAAGGAAAAAGTAACGACAACCAGACCAGGTGCTGTCAGTTCTGAGTGGTGCATTTTCCTCGAGTTTTCTGGTTTGTTTTAAAGCACAATTAAAATTAATGATGAATTATTTTTTATTCTCTCAGCCAAGTTGTCTGGTTATCTTCAGGCAGCTGCTGCAGAAATCAGGGAAGACTCCCATCCTCTAATTGGAGGTGAACATGGCAAAGTGATTTCTACATGTGATTTCTCTTGATTTAAAAAAGAGGGATGGAAGAGGTCCTTCCACCACCTTCTGCAGTAACTGCAGCAGATTGAAGGGCAGAAGCCCCAAGGACAAGGGCAGAGTTATTTGGAATTACATTGGATGGAATCCATGTATCCTGTAAACACCAGCCACGCTCCATGTGAGGGAAGGAGCCACCACGAAGGTTGTGCAATGGAGAAGGCATTTCCCAGCCTTCCCTGGCCCTGCTCTACAGCTGCTTTTCCCTTGCACAAGATGTGCAGCAAAACAGGAACGTGTGTGTGTGTTTGTGGAGCCTCCTGAGAGCCCAACTGGAGCCAAGAGAGAGCCTGTGAAATCCATCTCCTCTCCTGGTGGGATCCTGTCCCCATCCAACCCCCGTGGGCTGCAGGTACTGACTCACCCACCACCCTGAGCTCACCCCCAGCTGAGAATTATTTTCCATTTTCCAATGGCTTTGATGCTTCTGAGTCTCCAGTGTGGCTGGATGAAGACGTGTGACGATTGTTTTAAAAAATAAGTTCTTTATTACTAATCCTATTCATTTTTCTTGCACATTGTTGGGGGTCTGTGTGTGTGTGTGTTAAAATAAGACAGGTGGCTCCCAAAAGCAGCAAGTGCTTCTTTCCACCAGAAAATGTCCCTCTGGGATTGGAATCTTCCAGGAGATGTGACAGATCTTTTGTAGTACGTGCTCCTGTAACAAATGCAGCTCAAGGGTGGCAGGGGCAGGTTTGGTGCCAAGGGACCTGCAGGAAGGGCTTTTTTTTTTTTTCCCAGTGGGAAAACCTCTTTCCAGTAGGAATGGAATCCATCTTTTCCATCCCCCGTGATGAGATGCACAGGTACAATGGGGAGTGAAGAGGCTTTGTCCTCCCTCCCCTGCCCAGAGCAGCCCTTTGTGTCGGGGATGGTAAAGAATTCCAGTCAATCATTCCTGCTCCATCCACCTCCCCCATCCCCTCCGGTCAACAGGGGCATTGCTTTTGCCTCCAGGTTATTTAATATTGTCTAAAATGTCTAATATTTTCCTGCTAAGGGTTGTCTCTCAAATCCTCAGGTTTCTAAGGTGTTTACCCCACTGACAGGGAACTGCTGCCATTCGTGGCCTTTTTATTTATTTTTAGGCTTTTTCAGTGCCTTAAATCAAAATTAAGCTTTGTATTTTTACAACATGAATTATATATAATATAATAATATAATATAGACAATATAATATAATAATAATGTAATGCCCTCTTGGCAAAGGGCAGCAAAGTGTGGGCACAGCACTAAGGACAAATGTTTCGTTGAGGAGCCACAAACAAATTCTTTATTCAAATGAAAGTGCAGACCTGAGAACACTGAGCCACAGTCAGCAGATCTAGGAACAACATCTGATAATGTTTTCCCGGATGTTATCCAACAGAAACAAACACTCAGTGCCTTTGTCAAGTGGAGTTTAATAGAGACAGCAGTGCTTTTGCTTGCCATAAAAATAACTGAGAGCTGGCAAGCGTCTGACCAGCCCTACCTCTGATTTGTTCTGCTGTATTTGTTGAAGTGTTCGCGGTAATGACCAAATTGCACTATTTTTTTTGCTGAGCACCCATTGTTTTCCGTGGTGTCTGCCCCGCGCAGGAAGGAACAGACGCTTCGCTTGTGATGTTTATTCTGCCGAGGTGTTGTTTATGTATTTTTCCAGCAAAAGCTGGGCCGTGCTGATGGATCCCAGCGCTGTTCCCGCCGCAGAAATCCCGTCCCTGTGCGGGGTCGAGCCTTGGGGCAGCTCAGTCAGGCACAGATGTAGGTGCCAGGACCTCTGTACCACCTCTAGTACCGCCCTGCGCTGCCCTGCCCTGGCACAGCTCCCAGCACCAGGTGCCAAAGGTGGGGCGTTTCCAAGGCAAATCCGACGTGGAAAAGCAGCCCTGGAGCACAACAATAGCTCCTATTTACCGCTCCTGGATGCCTATTTACTCAGCGCTCCACAAACCAAACAACCCTTTTGTCTGAAGGCCTGACCCCCCTCGGAACGGGAGCAGATGGGAGAGCGCTGGGAACAATGGGATAATGCTGGAGGGGCCCAGCACTCCCGGCCAAGGACGAGGGGGCTGAGGAGGAGCTGTTCCAGCTGAACCACGAGCCAGCAAGAACATTTTATTCAGCTGCGATGTTTTCAAGGTTTTTTGACTGAAAATCGTTGGGTTAGAATGACTCGCCGGGCGGTGAGACCTCAAGGACGCTCGTACCGCTCCTGCAAACTGTTCTGAAGTCAGACTTGGCTCAAAAAACCACTCTCAGCCAGCAGCAACCAGTCTGGATTCAAAGCAACACCAGTGCCACTGGTTTAGCAGTCGAGCCCCGAGCGTTTACTGAGGCAAATAGGAAATACCAAAGCTCTGAATCAGATAAAAAAAAAGAGGCTCTTCGGAAAAGACAATCTGGACACTGGAAAAGAGCACTAATTTCATTAAAGGATTATCCTTCATTGAGGATTTTCTCTTTGACAAGGTTGAAAAGCAGCCCATCTTTGCTTGAGCTCTCGTGGGGAGGACCCAAAACAGCCCCCATGGATCTGCCAGAGCCTGACCAAGCATCCACCTTCCACCCCAGCTCCAACCCCCCTGGAGAACCTACACAGTCCACAGGGGAACTTGGAAGGGATTAAATCTTTAAATGCTACTCCCCCCACTTCCCATTCAGCAAAGCACTTAAGCTCATCATCTTCCTGCTTTGACATAATTTTTAATACACTGGTTTAACAACTTCATCTTCCGTTGGCATAATTGCAACGGATAATCAGTCATGACAAGAAAATGCCTAAAGCATTTCTGGGGCTTCAGGTTTGGGCTTCCAACCAAAAATCTGGGATTTGGTTAAAAGAACACGGACACGGGTGTTTTGTGCAAGTAACTTCTTTAATGGCATAAAACCCTAAAACTTTTCTGCACATCAGACAAAACTGCTCTGTGTGATTTGACAAAATAGTCTGGACATGCTGATACCACAAAATAAGAGCTATTTCCTAAACTGGTTATATAAAAAAAAGCCTTTGGACCCTTGCAATAGGATATAGAAACAGATTTGCCTAAACAGAACCTGATTCAAAAGTCCAAATGCCCCAGGATTTTCACATCAAACCTTTGGACACTCATGTCTAAATAACGTGTTGTCAAGAGATGCTGCAGAAGCCATTACAGCTGGAAAAGAAACAGTACTGCTCCCATGAAGGCAAAACTGCCTATTTTCTACTGTGAAAACCTCCCCATGCCATATTCTCAGGCCTTTCTCAGGACATGACAAGGCTGTGAATTTAACATGCATTTAGTTCTGTCAGGTGCCAAAGCTCTCTTTGTGCATCTCGGGGACGAGAAGGTTCTCCTGCAGATCCAGGTGACAGGAAAAGGCCCCCATTGCTGTTTGCAGTGGTCACCTGCCTGCACAAAGGAACACAACCTCACTGCAGTGCCTCCCACCAGGTTGGCTGGCCCTGCTTTGTCACCCTCTTGGAAAAAAAATCTCTTTTCTCACCAAGTGCTCCCTGCCAGCAAGATGGAGTGAGTGTGCATTGAGTCAACACAAGGAAAATGAGGCTGTTTCTGGGTAGAAGAGGCTTGACTTTGGCCTCTGAGCTCATGAGTGAGGCAGAGAGCAAGGGTTTCCTGTCCTGAACTTAATCTGGTCTTTGGGGGGAACAGGCCTGTCCACCCTCACGTGCAGAGTTCCCCTCTCAGCCACACAGTGGGAGATCTGCAGTGCCACAATCTGTGTGAGGAGCACAGAGAGCAAAGATCTGAACACTCACCTTCTACCTGGTGAGACTCTTACTGCTCATTTCCTTGGTCAACTCAAAAATGTCTGAAGAAAATCCTATCACCTCAACGTGAGCATGATGAGGAATGACCAAAACCTGAGGGAAAGAGGATTTGAGCCTTTCACACACCCATTTGTGTCTCTGCTTTTCGTCTCTGGGGCATTCCTTGAAGGAGACCCTTATTTTCCGTAAAATGCTGTGGAGTTTTATGGACTGATCTTCAATTTTCTTTTTGACACTCGATACCTGTCCAGCATCAGCCCTTCCAGCATTCTCAACACACACTGTAGTTATATCACCATCAGTGACAGCAGAAATTGCAACATCATTTTCTTGGAATATCCAGGGAAAGAAGTGCTTCATGTAGTGATATATATCTGTGTCAAGAACAACCACTTGTTTTCCCCCATCTCCATCAGGAACGAAATTCCTCCTCTCCGTGGTACTTCTGTGTTCCTGTAGCCTCCTCCTCAGTCTCTGATGGGATTTACTTTCCTCTCTGTTGTCCTTCTCTGAGAGGGATTTTGCTTTTAGTAAGAGAAAGTCTCTGAGCACTTGAATGGCTGGAAAGGAGCCTTGGACAGCAATCTGCCCGTCGGACTGCAACGGCCCAAAGCTCAAATCCCTGCTCTGCTTTTTCATTTCTTCCACCAGATCTTCTAAAACAAACTGGTCTTTGAAAACAGCCATGTTGAGGACAGATGTGACAGAGCTGAAGACCTGGAATTTCGAATTGGAGAAGTTAAGGAATGGGTCACACAGCAGTGGAAGTAGAAGCAGATGAATTATGCAGGAGCTCACCTTTTCACAGTAAGGGGTCACTCTCAGGGGATAGGGCTGGGACAGCCTCTTGTCTTCCAGTCGATGGTCATCCTTCTTCAGGACACTCTCCACAACTAAAGAGAAAGCCAGAATCACTTGTGGAGCAGCAGAATAACGTGTCTGAGGGAACCCTCAACGTGTTTCCCAACCATTCCCCAAACACACACGCGGGCGACTCCATCCTCTGACCCAATATTTTATGTATGAGTCAAAACTGCTCAGAGAGGCAGAAGCTTGTCTCCTCAGAACATCAACTGGCAGAGATTTATTCTCAAAAGCTTGACTACAAGAATAAAATGCTAGGCATGGTACAAATTTCTTCCTAAAAACCAAACAGAACTCTTTGCATGACGGCTGAGTCATTACTTCAGCGAGCAGAAATAAAATCCTAAAACTCTGATTGGCTCAAAGGGAGGTTTCAATCCTCCAGTCCAGAAAATTCCAGTAGTAATACACAGTTTAAAATCATTTGGCTTAGGGCTGATTCTCCAGGGGATGGCTGTACTTTAATAGATTAATCTAAATACCTTCTTGATCTTCAAAGGTTACGTAGGCGACTCCTTTATTCCCTGTGGGATAAGTCACTTCTTCCACGTCTCCACCGTTATTCCTCGACTTTTGGAAGTGGATGGTGAGGATGTCAGCCATGACATCATCCTGCAGAAGGCCATCTGGGACACCAGCAATGACGACTGTCCTTGTGGATTTGGCAGCTCTTCCTGTTGCCTGTGCAGAGATGGCACACGGTAAATGCAGGGAATACCCGTGACCTGCCGTAGGGATCACCCACATTCATCCCAATCCCTGGAGAGACTCCCCTTCCCTTTGCATTTAGCAAGTTAATTAAAGCTGCTGAATCAGATCTCAGTGCATGCCAGGCTCCCTCAGGCACCCACATCGCTGTGCACTAAAAAATGGCCTTAAATGTAATTTACACCCTCTCAGGATCTTCTGAAAGCGGTAAAAATTAGCACTAAATTCAAGCTTCTCAAGTGGAAGGTCCAGTGTCACACTGATAATGTTGCTTCCTCCAAATCTAACACTCAAAACGTGAAGAGAATGAAAACTGTAATTGCATGGACTGCTCAGTCAGGATTCCTTCCAGAGCGGAAGGGTCAGATTCCGACTGTCCTTACTTGTTAAATTCACAAGACACGGATCTGGGGTTGTGCTCTGACTCATCTCTCTCCATTTATTAAATGGATAACCTTGTTAAATTGGGAGAACATAATCCCAGTCATCCGAGACTCGCAGTGCATAAAACAACTAACTGCACACATGATTCTCATCAGAGCAAACCCCCAGCACAGCAAACATGAAACCCATCCTAAATAGGCTCTGCATCCTTGTCTTGCTAAGAGAAGCATATTTTCTTTCCCTTCTTACTATGTGGACATAAACAGCAATATTTCACTGGGAATATCACGGCAAAATCACTGTAAATACTGGAACACTGACTAAATTTAGTAGCAGTTCATTGACTTTCTGGAAGAAAGGAAATAAATTTAGTATGTCTGAGCTGCCAGTAACTTCAGAGAGACTGGGCTCGAGGTCAGTCACTCTGTGTAAATTCTTTACACTTCTCTTAGTTTTTTTTCTGGACCTGGGCTGCATAAAACATGAGGGCCACAAAGCAGGATGTGTGTCCAAATCCCTGGGGGCCACCACGAGGAGACAGATCCAGCGAGGCTGTGCAACCATGCAAGCTTTTAATTCATAGAGACACCGGGCCTTCTTTTATCACCCATCAAACTTAAAGAGCCAGGAGCTTTAATTATATTAGGCAATTATTTTGGTGGTAATGTTCGTGTGAAAGCAAGTCCCTGCACTAATGAGACAACACGAGGGGAATATAAACACGGTGCTCCCAAGATCCATGCAGGATTTTTCTCACGCTTCCCGAGCTCTCAGCTGCCAGACAGCATCTCACACCTTGCCAGCTGGTGTTTGGGAGCAACACTCGTGCCTGCTATTGGGGTTAGGGAAAAAAAAAAACCCACCACGAACGAACGTGCATTTAGTGCTGAATCGCTCCCGAGACCAGTCCGTGTGGAGCAGCTGTTCCCGGGCAGAATCACCGGGAGGGGCCGCGGGGATGGGCAGGAGGGAGAGGGGCAGGAGCTCTGTTGTGTCAGTAACCGCTGACAACGGGCTCCTGCCTGCGGTTTCCTGGCAAAGCTGCTCCACGGATCATGGAATCACAGACGGGTTTGGGTGGGATCCTTAAAGACCAACCAGTCCCACCTTCCACTAGCCCAGGTTGCTCCAAGCCCCGCCCAACCTGGCCTTGGACACTCCCAGGGATCCAGGGACACCCACAGCTTCTCTGCCCAACCTGGGCCAGGGTCTCCCACCCTCCCAGCCAGGAATTCCTTCCCAACATCCCATCCAACCCTGCCCTCTGGCAGTGGGAAGCCATTCCCTGTGTCCTGTCCCTCCATCCCTTGTCCCCAGTCCCTCTCCTGGAGCCCCTTTAGGCCCTGCAAGGGGCTCTCAGCTCTCCCTGGAGCCTTCTCTTCTCCAGGTGACCCCCCCAGCTCTCCCAGCCTGGCTCCAGGGCAGAGGGGCTCCAGCCTTCCAGGGACACCTTTCCTAGCCAGGTTTGCTCCAAGCCCCGTCCAGCCCAGCCTTGATCACGGCGGGAGCTCAGGAATGAGGCCTCACCCGCAGCCCTCACGGTTCTCAGTGCTACTGGAAAGGAAAACATTAACACTGCGGGGGGAACTCGGGGCTGCGGCACCTCTGGACACCCACCCGGCACCGTGCGCTGCCACCATCCGCTCGCTCCCCTCCCACTGCCTTCCTTCCCACCCTCTTCCTTCCCTTTTATCCCTGGAGGCGGGAGGAGGCCGCTCTCCGCTCGCGATTCGCCGGCCTCGCTCCCCCCGTCCCTCGGTACTTGCCATGGCCGCCGCTCCGCCGGGACGGGGGTCCCGCCGGGATGAGGTTCCTGCCGGGACGGGGGTCCCGCCGGGATGAGGTTCCTGCCGGGACGGGGGTCCCGCCGGGATGCGGCCCAAGAGCTCGGGGAGCTCGGCTCGGGCCTCCCCGGCCCGGTGGGGAAGCGAAAGCGAAAGCGGCAGGGAAGGAGGAGGAGGAGCGGGGGGGCTCCGCCGCCCGCCCTGCGGAGAAACAACCCGCCGAGTTCCGCTGCTCCCGGCGGGAATCCCCGCCAACAGCGGCCCGGGCTGGGACACGCGTGGAGAGGGACATGGACAGGGAGAGGGACACACACGGGCAGGGACATGCACGGCAGAGCACACACATGGCACAGCACACACGTGGTGAGGCACACACGTGGCAATGAGGCTCAACCAGGCCAAGGGCCGGGTCCTGCCCTTTGGCCACAACAACCCCCGGCAGCTCCAGGCTGGGCCAGAGGGGCTGGAGAGCAGCCAGGCAGGAAGGGAACTGGGAGTGGGGATGGACAGGGAGCTGAACAGGAGCCAGAGTGTGCCCAGGGGGACAAGAGGGCCAATGGATCCTGGCCTGGCTCAGGAACAGGGTGGCCAACAGGGCCAGGGAAGTGATTCTGCCCCTGGACTCAGCGCTGGGGAGGCCACCCCTGGAGTGCTGGGTCCAGTTCTGGGCCCTCAGCTCAGGAAGGACATGGAGGGGCTGGAGCAGGGCCAGAGAAGAGCAACGAGGCTGGGGAAGGGACTGGAGCACAAGTGCTGTGAGGAGAGGCTGAGGGAGCTGGGGGGGCTCAGCCTGGAGAGGAGGAGGCTCAGGGGAGACCTCCTCACTCTCTGCAACTCCCTGACAGGAGGGGGGAGCCGGGGGGGGTTGGTCTCTTTTCCCAGGCAACCATCAGCAAGACAAGAGGACTCGGTCTGAAGCTGTGCCAGGGGAGGGTTAGGTTGGATATTAGAAAGAATTTCTTTGCAGAGAGGGTGCTCAGCCCTTGGAATGGGCTGCCCAGGGAAGTGGTGGATTCTCTGTCCCTGGAAGTTTTTAAGACAAAACTGGATGTGGCATCAGTGCCATGGGCTGGGAACCACGGCGGGGTTGGATCAAGGGTTGGACTTGATGATCTCGGAGGTCCCTTCCAACCCAGCTGATCCTATGATTCTATGAACACACGTGGCAGCACACACATGGCAAAGCACACATATTTCAAAGCACACATATGGCACAGCACACACGTGGTAAAGCACACACATGTCAAAGCACACACATGTCAGCACACACACGGCATGGCACACACATGGCACAGCCCACACATGACACAGCCAGACATATGTCAAAGCACACATATTTCAAGGCACACGTGTCACCGACACTGTATTCTTATTTTTCACCATTAAAAGCAGTCACCAGCCTTCGTGTGGCACCACTGCTTTAAACTTTAACTGTGTAATCATCATCATAAACTGTAATTCATCAGGGAGAATTCATCAGCAAGACATTTACACTCATTGCCTTAAAATGTTACTTAAAATGTAATCTTGACTTTAGGTACTTAAAACCTGCAGCTTCTCACTACTCTGCACACTGGGACACCTTATGAGAATTTTACACTTTCTCCTTTTTTAAGGATTTAGTCCTCAGTATTTAACAATGAGGCACAGTTAAAATTCATGACATTTTTTGCCTTCTTCAGGTTTTTCCCCCTTTCTTTTCAGGGTGTCTGATTTTACCAAGTTTTTAAAGTGTGCAGAAGCACATAATCTCCATAAATACCTCAGTACTGCTCTTCTTTTTAATTATTCTTATTATTACTTCCCAATGGTCAGGTAATCAATCCATGCCTTTGCATGCACTAAACAGCAAGAGGTGCTACAGTCACATGTATCTCACTCAATAGTAAATTCAAAATAAACTGCTGCTTGCAGGCTTTTAGTTTCCCTTGTTCAACTCAGTCTCTTGCCAGCTAAATTTCTCTGGAATAATAATCCCTGAGGTATTTTTTGAGAGCTTGGTGCATTGTCCAGTTCCTGCACCAACATGTCAAATACCCTGAAAATAAGTTATTTTCAGTGTTAGACTCAAGTTACTTTGCAATTAAGGTCGTTGTGGCCAAAGCATTTCAGCAAAAGATAAGGAAATGCAGAGTCAGAGGAGGATTTATTTTTCCAAGGATGACAGCGGAAAAGGAAAAGCATTTTTCCCTGGAAAACAAATCCTCCTCTGACTCTGCATTTCCCCGTTCCCTCTCTACACACTCTCCCAGAGCCTGGGAGTCACCAGATCCCTCAGGATGTTTCCCCAGTGTCGTTACAAAACCAGCCTGGTTTAGATAAAGCATCAGCTCGATCCTGGGCTGTAATAGTTTGAAGTAAGAAAAAAACATGGACAAAAATGAGGAAAAATTTAATTGTAGAAACAAATATTTAACCCAAACAATAAAGCAGCTTGTGAATTAGTAGAAGCTCAGCAGCTAAAGGCAGCATTCCTGCCAGGGCATTCCTTTTTAAGTGCAATTCCCTGAGTGGAACTGATGTTTCTGCACTGCCCCTTTCCCTTTTTTTTCTATTTTAATTCCATTAGTAATTGGATTTGATGAAATTACAGGATTTCTTTCAGGTATTTGAGTTCTGGTGGCCTTCAGCAGCCTCAGCAGGACTGGAGTTGTGTCAGAGCCACCTTCTGAAGATCTGGCACTTCAACAAAGCAGGTCTGTTCCAGGCTTTGGATTGGGATTACACAGGGCTTTTGGATCCAAAATGTAGGAAATCATATATTTATCCCACTTTGGAGTATGTGAACTATATAAAATTTACAAGATACAAAATTTGCAAGTTTGCATTAAATCTTAGATGATGTTTCAAGTGTGATAAAGGCTTTCTCTATGTCTTTCATCTGGAAGCCCAAGCAGTGAGTTTTGCTGCATTTCCATGCAGAGCCTGTGCCATTGCACGAATCAGAAAGGCAGCAATTCCTCTTTTCCAAGGATAAATTTCAAACATAAAAGCACAGTTCCCATGCCTCTGATGCAGCAAAAACTCGGAATTTGAGGAGTTCACTCTGAGTTCCTAGGTGGCATCCCCAGTATCCTCCTCAAAGCAAACATATGCTGCTCCCTTTGAGACATATTTGATGTTCTCTATTTCCCCACCGCCGTTACTCGGCTTTTGGAAGTGGATTTCGATCATGTCCTGGATACTTTCCTCATCCTCTTCCACCTCCTGGATTCCTTTCAGCAGGATGGTCTTCTTAGAAACCCCACAGTATGTCTGTGGAGGAAAGGAAAACACGCTGGGATCACACAGCAGGGACTGGCAGGTCTGGGAATTCAATCCCCTGAGCAGGCATGGCTGGGATCTTTGGTTAGGTTAAGATTTTGGATAGTGGGGTGTATTCCTGGCACTGGAAATAGCAGGAATTCTGAACTCCACCATACACTGCTCTGAAGGGTCTGGAGGGGCCATATGAGGAGTGGCTGAGGGCACTTGGTTGGTTCATCCTGGAGGAGACTGAGGGGAGACTTTTCCCTGTTTGGAGCTCTCAGGGACAGGGTGGGATTGTTGGGGTGTCTGTGCAGGGCCAGCAGTGGGACTGAGGAGCCTTGGGGGTCTTTCCCCACTCAGGATATTCCAGGATTCTACTGAGTTCAGTGAATCCAGACTCCTTAACTGGAGTCTCCTACCCCCCTTTAACACACCCACACACTGGATTTGGGGATCTCTGATGACTCCAGAGCATCACCCCATAAAAACCCCTGCCAGGACATGCTCCACACCTGCAAAGCTGCCGTGTCTCCTGCACACACACACTCCAGCCCATGCTTTAATTACAAAGGGCTGATTGTATCCACAATTACATACACAATACTGACTGGATTACCATCTGGTCATAAAGCAAGAGGCAATTTCAGTGAGAACAGGATGAGCATTCTATGGGAATATGATGATAAGCTCTGTGTTACAGGGAGAGGAGTCAGTGTTTGGGCTGAAAGAGTGAATGAAATGAATGAAGGAGCAAATCTTTTTCT